GGCCTACTTCAAAAACATGATTTCACAACCACCTCAGCCCCACCATGGCTGGGGCTGAGGTGAGAAAATTTGAGGAAATAGTTCCTCTCGAGGTGGCCGGAAATGACACTTTTATATAATAAAATTCATCATCATCACATTACCATTATAGTCAAAATGAAACGCCAACAAATTTCTCATGATCTTTTATCAGGAATCTACCTAATATCCAAGACAACTTAGGCCTAATTATAGCTTACTAAGCTTCAACTATATATACTATAGTATGATCAACAAATCACAACTTTTTTTCGCATTTAGCACAATTTTCTTTACTTTTTATTGCTATTAATATTATTATCAATTATTGCTATCGTCATTATCATCATTGTTATATTATTATTACTAGTAGTATTATTAAACAAACATGATCTTTTATCAGGGATTTTTGACAACCATAGAGATCTTATTCTTATTAATGTATGTGTGTGATGTACCATAAAAAAAAAAAAAAAACATAGAAAAAAAGCTTAAAAACATTGTCTTTGAGTATTTACTTTACATAGGGCTACTTCAAAAACATGATTTCACAACCACCTCAGCCCTACCATGGATGGGGCTGAAGTGAGAAAATTTGAGGAAATAGTACCTCTCGAAATGGCCGGAAATGACACTTTTATATAGTAAAATTCATCATCATCACATTACCATTATAGTCAAAATGAAACGCCAACAAATTTTTCGTGATCTTTTATCAGGGATCTACTTAATATCCAGGACAACTAGGCCTAATTATAGCTTACTAAGCTTTAACATATACTATATTATGATCAACAAATCACACCTTTTTTTCGCATTTAGCACAATTTTCTTCACTTTTTATTGTTATTAATATTAATATCAATTATTACTCTCGTCATCATCATCATTGTTATTATTATTATTACTATTAGTAGTAGTATTATTAAACAAACATTTAAAGAAACTTGCAAAAGGATAAAAACGAAATTGAACCACAGTATCGCATTTTTATTTTAAAAGACCTGGCCTGAGATTTATGGATTTAAGATTTTTTTAAATAACGCTTAGGCTTATGTGTTCTATTAGGCCTATGTATAATGTGTACTGATGCATATTTACATGTTTAGAAGTATTCATTTTAAGTGATCCCAGGAAAGAATTTGTATTGGCTCAAGAATAAGCTTTTCAATTTTAACACTGTGTACAAAGTGGGGGGGGGGGGAGCCGCGGCTCCCACGGCTTTCCCCTGGATACGTCCCTGGTCTACACCATGACTTACGGCACATAGAAAAAAATATTAGATTATCACTCTTTAAAAAAAAAAAAAAAAAGTGATGAAGGTGGGTGTTTTTTTTTTGTTGTTTTTTTTTTGTTTCTCCACCCCCCCCCCCCAATTGGAACAATAACTGCCTTTTTTTTATAAATGAGGGAGGAACTGTTTTTATTTGGCAAGATTGTATAAAAACTGGTTTAATTTTATTTTTTTTAAAGAAAATGTATTTCCAGTTACAAAATTGCATTGTTTATTTTTATGCTAAATACTTGATACGATTTTTTTTTTTTTATTCCCGCATCATTTCCCAAATTTTTGACGCAGGCGGGATTGATAATCAGAAATGTATTTTTTATTGGGCTTTAGTATTTGCCTAACTTATGGACTTATGGATTTTCATTGATTTTATTAGACCTACTTTCTTTGGGGTGATTTTGTTTGCTGCTTTAGGCCTACATGATGTCCGATTGTTGGGTGTCCGGGGGTCGCGGATGTTTATTTTTTAGTTTAGCGTCCAACAGTGTTCTGCGGTCATTGAACCAAGCTTCGAAATGAAGTGGAGAAACGCTCTAAGAAGTGGTGACCAACGGCAGTAAGGATAGTGTAAATTTAATACCTCTTTGGTCATACTGATGGTATGTTGTCAATTTAAATGTATTTTGAAACATTGATCATTATATTATAATTTAGTATAATTGTAGTTTGTATTTTATTTAGAGTTAATGTTTTAATGATATGTTTTTCTAGCCCATTAGAAAACTCGCTTTGTTGATGATCGATTAAGCTTGTACCAGAGAGCAGTGTGCCACTGCTTGGGTATTTTGACTTGGTCTTGGGTTCTTGGGTATTCTGTTGAAATCCTTGGGTATTTTATTTTTACTAAGAAAATTAAATATTTTTGTCATAGAGGAAGAATTAAGAAGTAACAAAGTATATGTCAGTTTATTCAAGTAAGTAAAACTCAACGAAGTGCACATAACATTGTTAATTGACTGTTAATTGTTAACTGTTAATAAACATGGGTTCAGAATTGTTTATTTGTGATTTTCGTTGCCATTGATTTACTTAATTAATGCATTACATAATAAAACTTGATCACTGATCTACTGATAACACTGGCCGACTGAGAGCGTATTTTTCTATCTGAGGCCCCTATTATCACCTCATGAATATTAATTTTAATAATTAACACAAACAATTACAATAAAAAATGGTTTATAAATTGAACTAAAAGGGAAATATACATGCGAAAAACACGTGTTTTTTTTTCAAATTTTAATGCATTTTCAGGAAGCTTGGGTAATTTTGGGCAATTTTTGCTGAATCTTGGGTAATTTCGACCCAGTCATTGGGTATATCAAAAATTGTGAGTGGTCACGCTGCCAGAGAGGGCGCTCTATGTAAACAATATTATGGCGGCGCTTATGTAATTTTCAGATATCGCTAAGTAGATAATTTTATTAATATTTTCTTAAGAGTTAAATACCATTTATTAGTAGTAGCTAGCCTAGCTAGGGCCAATGCCATAATTAATGAGGCTAGCTAGGCCTCTAGGCTAGGTGTGTCTAGCCTGCCCAGGGCTGGCTAGGCCAGACTGTATGCCTAGTAGTAGTAGCAGTAAGTAAGGCCTGCGCGGGGAATATATCCTCCGCGCTAGAAGAATGGCATCCGCTATAATTTGGCATAAAAATTTCCGTTCAGATTTTGCCAAAAATTAGGCTGTGAACAAATCTTAATACTGTATATAACCAATGCAATTATGCTGAAATTACTATTCCGTGCACCTATTTTTATAGCGATTTTCCACGCAAATTTGAGCTGATATTTGAGATATCCTCCGAGAAATTAAAAAATCTTTACAGTATGGCGGCCACTCCTGTTTTGGTGACGTAACTCCAGGCCAATTTTTTTTCTGTCTTTTTCTCACATTCTATTCCGGTTTACAAAGAAAATTACATACTGTAGTCATACTAATCTTAATTGTGTTGTCTTTTTTGCAATTTAATACTAAGAAAATTTCAATATTTAGGTTAACTTTCAATATTTTGCTTGGTGACAGGATACTTCTCTTTGGGTGGTATAAAAACGTGTGGATGTGAGTGCTGTAAAGTCATGCTGGCCTTTTAGTACACACTAGATCATAATTACAAGCTATCTGATCAGTAAAGACTAAGCATAATAATGAGATTTATCTTTATGATACAAAATACTGAGCTAAATAAAGCTTCCAGGGGGTTAAACCCCCTGTAATTGGGGAGATCCCCCTCCTAAGGTCAAGGCCTTTCTGTAAGTGGCACTTCACGCCAAATTCTCCCGTTTTTTTATATCAAAATGTTGGCATGCATGCGGCTGCGGTGTATGTTTTCAGTCTTTTTCGAAAAATTGAATAACTAATAAATATCCTAATACTGATAATTATGATATAACGAATATTCGTGTTGAATATTTTATTATATAAGGGATAAAAAAACTGAAAAAAAAAGAAAAACATGTTTTGTTTATTTATGCTAATTCGCAAAGAGAAGCCTAGACCAGGCATAGTAACATACAAGAAACGAACGTAATTATAAGTTTCACAAACTTAAAATTTTAAATGGTAACTGGTATCAAAAGCCTATTTATTTGTATACTATATTCTATTAAATGGATATTTTAATAATAATACAAAGTACACTTAATTTCCTTGGTTTTCTTGATTTTAAATACTTTTCGACCGAACTGGTCCGCGGTCGAAACAGATGTCCTGCACAGCATCTCTGACTTTCAGGGGAACCCTTTTTCAATTTGTATGTTGTCGCAGGCTTTGAATTAGATGTTGAAACATTGTTACTCGATCAATGTCCAACCAGTAAAACATTTATTTCTTTTTATAATTCTAGAAAGAAATCATTCTGTGCCTCAACTGATGAAGTAGACATCTTACGCTGGCTGGAAGCCTACAGAGGTTACTGAAAATACGAGGATTCTACTATTTACCTAGAGCCGCTTTCATCAGCCAGTGTTTCTACAATAGGCAGTTGTCGCTTGAAGTTGTTATTCATCAGTTCAAAGTATGTGAATTAATCAGTTCTTAGTAGCAATATACTCCTACAAGTTCCTGGGTTGGTCAGGGGTCCCAAGTCTCATGGAAGTCACCGTCTCCCGGAAATCAGGACAGACTCCTGCAAGCAGGAACCTCACAGAAAATAATCATTCTTCTCTTCTGCAAATCCATGATAGGGAGCTTTCGATTGTACAACAACGGTAGGACGTAGAATGTAATGACGTCGCTAAAAGTCATCTGCGCATGACAGAATGTTAAGTTCTTGTGGATTCTAGGACGTAATTTAGCCAAATCTGTATGCAGAGAACGTACAGTAGGACGTCTGGTAGGATGGTCGTGCATGAGTACAGTAATTCCGTTTTAACGTTGCGTCATTGCGCAAATTAAAAGCTCTGTAATAACTGTTTTCACTCTAATTATTGTCAATTAAATGTCTCACAGAAGTTAGTGCTGATAGATAAAGTTAGACGTTTTGAATAAGCTCATTTTGTGATTTCCTTTATCTTGGGACCCAAGTGTGGTAGAGTTAAACAATTTAAGATAAGGTCAAGGAAATATTAAAATTAAAAAAGAAAATGGAAAAACATATGTAGATATTCAAAAAATGTCTCCATTTAATGTCTTTTTATGTTGGTAAAAAGCAATGTTGTATGCATGCAAGTAGCTTACATTCTGTACAACTCATAGAAGGGGTTCCTCTTTTTTATTTACCCATTCCAAGAAACTTTAAAATCAGGTATTTTACGCCCAGGTCTTGCCCGTTCATCTTTTAAAGAATTTCTTTTATTTCACATATTGTGACGTGTCAGACATATCATATATTAGGAGTAAATGTCTAATACTAGTAGAATATGGATTTTGATCAGTAAGAACCAATAACACATTATATGTAATACTTCATTTGAATTAATAAATATATATGTTATTCTTTCAGACACCAAAGACAATGCCTAAAAGACCAGCAAAGACACAACAAGATGTCTCGCCTAAGAAATCCAAGGTAAGCACATTTAATTATAGGTTGAAAACTGTGTATTACTTGTTGAAAGAGACATTACACAAATCGGTGCACTCTCGCTGAGATGTTGAAGATGTCTCTAATACTCTTTTTACACTGCCAATGTGAGAATAAACCTTTCTTATTTTCTACTTGTCTTGATATTTGACCGTTGACACTGCTATTGTAGGTCAGATTCGCGTTATTTTAAGCAACTTCTTGGTAAACGTGCATGGTAGATCACGATAAATCTAACAACTTCTTTTTCAATTCAGTTGAAAGTAGAAGCTGCAAACTCTTCAGAACCTCAGGATTTTCTCTCCAACGTTGCACACTTAAGACTGCAGACAGCAGAGTCTGTAGCAGACTTCAAATTCAATAAGAAGCGTGTGAGGGTGATATCTGATGCCAAAGATGTGCCAGAGCAGAACCATGGGATTGTATATTGGATGTCCAGGGATCAGAGAGTACAAGGTAAGAATTAGCGTACAATTGTCAATCACGGAATGTACACGGACTGTGCATTTCTCCATCTTTGGGTCAAAAATTTGCATTTGCTCTTGTTGCAACTTTAATGATTTCATAGAGTAGGTGAAGCTTGAATGATAGGTAAGCTTCCATGATACTTTGAAACTGATTATCAAAGTTTCTAGTAATACAGGCTTTCCATTTCAAAACCAGCCTAATTTTTAAACTGAGTGTTTGGCTTAAGAATGTGTCAGTATTGTATAATACTGTACTTTAGTACAAAGAAGCATAATAGTTTTACTTAGGCAATAGTAAGTTGATTCCGGTGAACAACACATTTTAAAGCTTACAATGTGGAGAATAAGAATATACAGTATTAAAAAGTCAATTTTAATTTTTTGGTCACTGATGCTGGGTTTGGGATGGCAAGCCCTATTTATTATTGATAAAATATTTTTGCTATAAAATTATTTGAATTGATTTCATACAAGTATGTTCATTTGTTTCTTTGTTATGACTGTTTTCAACTATAGACAACTGGGCCATGTTGTTTGCTCAGAGGCTGGCTTTGAAGCAAGAGGTCCCCCTTCATGTCTGCTTTTGTGTGGTGCCTAAATTCCTAGATGCAACCATTCGGCAGTATGGATTCATGATGAAAGGACTACGAGAAGTTGAACAGGTGAGAATAGCACACATCATCGTGGCTCGGTCAAAACCTTGTGTTTTTCTTAGCATCTCCCTCAACATGTTTACAAAGTTTTGTGTGAAATGCTAAAACCACATGAGGCTTTGTCGTATGACCCCAACATATGTTTACAGCAAGCTTGTTATGAGGTTTCATCTCTTTAGCTCTGAATACATGCTCAAGGCCTAAGAACTATATGGTTTTGTTCTGAATATTCCAGACCTCAAAACATTCATGTTTTAATACATCAATGCTCGTCATCTACGTGTATTGTTGTATTATGAATCCATGTGCAGGGGCCAGAATGGAAATAAGGATTTGACGTCGGCAGTAACATTATAAAGTACAGTACTGAAACAATAGAAAACAGATAACTTCATTCTATAACTCTGAATAGGCATTTGTACTGAGGAGAGATGTTTTGCCCTACCTGGTGTGTTATTGTACCGAATACTCAGTACATTTCCAAATACTTGAGAAAAAAGTTATCAAGTGAATTGGGTGGGAATCAAACAAACACCACCTCCAGACAACTAGCCTGGTGCCATAACCACTTAGTGGCTAATTTTGAATCATTTGTACTGATGGGTGCTCAAGGTTCAATGTATTGATTATCTAACCTGAATTATTTGTGCTTAAAACGAAACCGTTCCCATCCTCCCCCCCCCCTTTTTGACATGCTTAACTTAACTGCATCACCACAATTAATTGTAAAGATGAACAGGGTTTTTTAGGCATGGCAATAATATAGTGAACCAGAAAGACTATTTCTTATTAATCTATTATTTCTTATTAATCTATTATGACAAAAGTACATGTGCAGTGCAGAAGTATGTTATAGAAATCTCTTCCACTGTCTATTAGATATATTAGATTCATTTTTAATACTAAGTATTCATATATTTTTCTTCAAGGAACTAAAAGAGCTTGACATATCATTCCACCTCTTGATTGGATATGCCAAGGATGTACTCCCGAAGTTCATAGAAGAACACCAGATAGGTGGCTTGGTAACAGACTTCAGTCCATTGAGAATACTATCAGAATGGGTCCAGGAGGTTGCAAGTGAGCTGCCATCAAATGTTCCATTTTGTCAGGTAAGTAACTGTTTCTGAATTTTGTGTTAACTGTACATTACGTTGCTTTTTCACTCACCTAATAATGGTGTGTGTGACTGCAGCCATTTTAAATTTTCATTCATGGGGAGGCTCATAGTATACATCCAGATGCACAGGCCTACCTTTGATTTTAATTTGCATAGTGTCTAAATGAAACTTGCAGCATAAGCGCTTGCATAAAATTAGAACACTGGACAGTGCTGAGTAGTGACCGCACCATTGCACACGCAGTATGATCGAAACTCATTGTGTTTATTCAAGGAAGGTATCAGGAGGTACATTAAATGGGGCTCCTGTCAAAAAATCGCAATGAAGTGCCTCTTCTTTCTTTGGTTTATGTGTGTGACACTCCTTTGTAAATTGATACATGATATTGTGCCATGCATCTTATATTTATGTTTGTACATGACAATATTGTAGGTTGATGCCCACAATATCGTGCCTTGTTGGGAGGCTTCACCCAAACTAGAGTATGGAGCACGCACTATCCGTCCCAAGATTCACAAGGTGTTGTCTACATATCTCACTCAATATCCACCTGTCATCAAGCACAAACATAAGCCCAAGACCGAACCAGAGGTAGGTAGAAAGAAGCCAAAATCACTATAGGTTGACCCTCTGAGGCAAACTTATTCTTAGCAGTGGCTCATTGCTTTTTCCTGCATTGGCAGAAAAAAAAAAAACCCATTGTTTTTGTTTTGAATTTTTATCTTCTATCCTGTTTCCTGTGTTTTTGAACAGAATTTTTCTGTCCGGTACCTTGGTCACTTTCTGTACTTGGCAAAAATGCGCATATTAAAATATGACGTCATATGAAGAAGTTTCAGCTAAATTCAAGCAGAAAATAAACTCCACATACATAGCACGGCTGAGCGAGCGACAGACACGCGCCACTGCTTGGACTCTTCCATTATATAAAAAGGTGATTCCACACACACACACACACACACACACACACCATGGAGGTATAAACACCATATTCACTGTATAACACAAAACACATAAAGACAAGAAACTCAGTCAATTTTTATGGGTTTGTTTAATGCTGAGAGAATGCCTTAACACAATATTTTATTGAGGATATTATAAATCCTTGAACGTTTCTACATTTATAATTACACTGTTAAAATATACAGTACAATGTAGATAACTAATATTTTACAGTATTTGTTTATAATACCAACACTATGAATCCATACTAATTGTTACCAAGGAGAAATAATTAGAAATTACTATATCTATTTACAATTTAGAAGTTAACATACACTCATGGAGGTATACCTCTATGAATTACACAACTGATGTTTTCAAGGTGCAAGACTGAAAGACTGACCATAGACTACCATTAAAAATAAACAGTTAATTCCTTAACACTGTATAACACCATACCTGAGTATATAAAGAAGCATTGATAATTTTATTAAATTGATTACCATAAATAGAATATAATTTTAACTTTGTAACAATAGTTTAAGTAATGAACAATAAAATCACAGTAAATAGCTACAAAACATTTTACAATCTGCTTTACTACAAAAAAGCATGTTTCAAAGATTAAAGGTCTCTATTTAAAAAACATTACATTTCACAGTTATTATTTTTTTTAAAGTTGCACCTTGTAAATTTTAATAGCACCTTGTAACTTTTAATACTGAAGATACATATTACTTAACTACAAAGTTGAATTCCTGTTTTAACATCAATTTTAAAAATGTGCAGATTATAACATTTAATACCGAACATGACCTTGTAGCCAACCTTCTTTTTGAGCCGCTTACTTTTTCGAATGGTACAGAATTCTGCCATGATTGCCAATTGTCATGTCTATAAAAAAAATCATAACGATTCATTAACCATAGTGTTACTTTATCATAATTTATATGCATACTCTATATGGTAAAATTATACATTTTATTTATTTTAATTGTTTTTTTTTACCTCGAAGAAGAACCTGAACAGCACTTGGCTTTTTATTATTAATATTGTAATTGTTATTGTCGTGATGACAATAATTTGATTTTGCGTCAGGAGAATCAAGTAAAGGTGTAATTTTTGCCCTACCTGACGTGAAATGTACTGAACACTCAGTACGTGTGAAAACACTTGCGGAAAAAAAAATTATTATTATTATTATTTATTATTATTATTAATATTATTATTATACACTTAATTATATACTTAAGAGTACACAAAATACCTCCAACTGGGCCTAGGTCTATTTAATTTTTTGTTATTCGACATTAAGAAAACAATACCGTACGTTGTATATAAATATTGTATGTTGCTACGTACGGTACTGTACAGTACATTTGAAAGTCGTAAATAACATTATTTGAAAATAGATTTAGTGACCAACTAAAAATGTATGTATACTTACACATCATGGTGTAATTTTAACAGTAAAGTTGAAACCAGGGTTGTAAGGGCTACAGTAATTTTTCTACACGCACCAGCACTACACAAGCGAGGCTCGGCAATATTGTAGGCGACATACCTACACAAAAATACAGTAGTCCAGTTAAGACATATAGAATATTATGTAAAAAGTAAGTTTTTAAAGACTGAAGCTAGTAATTTGAATAGCACATTCTTCAGTATATTATGCATGACATAAACTATTTGTAATGTAATATACATGTAATACTTACCGATAATGTTAGTCTAAAAACAGTGTATCTTTCTGATACCCAGCACACTCACTATGCAAGATAGCGATCATGCAGTGTGTACGAGTTCACTAGAGCGTAACAAAGGTCAATCCAGCCGAATCGAGATAAAAAGTTTTATGTGATTTGACAGAAACACGCGTAAAGTTGCCATTATCCAATCAGAACCTGTTTTATATATCAAACGAAAGCTACATTATCGAACAGCCTAGTTCCCTCCGAACTTTATGGAAACGAAAACGAATTGCAAATGACCTTTTAGTGCTAGAGGTCGCAACAAGTAGGTTGACCTGATATCTATAATTGTAGATTTTTCTCAAAACGTCTCACTTTAATCTAAAAAATGCTGCAATTCCCCGACATCAAAATATGTAATAAAAAAAATACATCATTTTAAAGCTTATCATTTCAATTTTATATTTAAAAGTGAACCCTTTGACATTTCACTGAACTTTTTACTGTAAACGGGAAATAGTTGGAAATGACAGTACAAATGTGGTTGATTTCCCATGTTAAACACAATCCGCTCTGAGGCGTTGAGCAGATGCGCGCTACTTCTTCATATGATTCTATGTTTGAATATTAATAAACAATTAATTAAACCTTTATGTTTTATGCATTTTAAACCACTATGTTAAACACAAAATTACTGTGAAATGCACGGACAATTGTGACCTTTGACTTATAACATTATGCAAGGTATACAAACTACAAATGCACTGATTGCCATAGGGTTGGATTCTTCAGAATAGAATAGAAGCGGTTGGTGCATCTGTTGTGGCTTGGACTCCCAACCTTGAAGTCTCGCTGTGCAAGTCGCTTGTGTCCTTGGACAAGGCCCTTTATCTACGTTTGCCTCTTTCCACCCAGGAGTACAAGTGTGTACCTAGTAGGGTTGAACACAACTGCTCTGATTACTAGCTGCAATATTATGAAATTCTCTCAGGGATTTGAGTATGTGTTCCATACGTGTTTGATTCAGTGACCAGTGTAATAATGTGAAGCACTTAGAGGCTTTATGCATGAAGCACTATATAAGACCGACATATTATTATTATTATTATTATTGTTTATAGTGTATTAATATTATTAATATATTATATAGTAATATATTATTAATATTAATATTAATATATTAGTATAATAATATTAATTATTAATATTATTATTGTTATTATTATTATTATTATTATTATTATTATTATTATTATTATTATTTATAATGGTAAGAACTCTCAAAAATAACCCTTACCACTGCAGTCATAGTACAAGTCTCACTGATGTCAAGTTGGTTTTCATGGTTTGTTTTTTACTTCATAACTTCCTTTAGTATGATAATATATTTTGTTTTTAATGTATTTTTTACTTTATACTTTTTTAATGATTTTTTCATCACTTCTCATTATGGCAATGAGGAAAAGCCTTATGTTCTGTTTTACAGACAGACACAGTAGGTCTAATTTGATTTTTATTCTCAGCCTAATGTCTGGGATGCAGCCATGGACTCTCTGGAAGTCGATAAGACTGTCTCTGAGATAGATTGGGCTCAGCCAGGTACTACGGCAGGCCTTTTTGCACTGGAAGATTTCTTCGAAAATAGACTACGATCCTATGAGGTAGAGAGAAACGATCCTAACAAGACTGCTCTTAGCAACCTGTCACCATGGTTTCACTTTGGTAAGATTTTGAAAGATGACAAAACCATTCTATCTGTCTCTTATACACATCTTTACATATTGTGGCCAAGGGCCAGATTTCATGTCAAAATTACAGTACGAGTCTTCCTATTAAATTGTCTACAATTAAAGAGAAGAAGTTACAAAAATACAAAAAAAGCATAAAACCTGAGACAGTGGACAGTAAACTTTAAAGATGTCCTGTCAGCTAACAGAAGAAGGAAACCAATATATTCTAAAAAATGTTAATTTAAATATCACAGTGCAGATATTTTTTACTCATCATTAAAAATTGGTGCCTTTTCAAGTTTTTGATGCCCTTTGGTTTAGCCATTACTTTTGAGCATTTTGTGATCTTCCTCCTTTCATTTGTTGTAATGAATTACAGGTCAGATTTCAGTTCAGCGAGCCATCTTGACAGTGCAACCATACAGAAGAAAACACAGCAAAGCAGCGGAAGCCTTTATTGAGGAATCAGTGATTAGAAGAGAATTGGCAGATAACTTCTGTTTCTACAATGACAAATATGATTCAGTTGAAGGTATGAAGGAGATAGTATCCCAACTTAATATGCATTAAATCCTAACCCAAATTTGGATTGTGTTTACAGTGTCCATATTCGTTCTTCTTCAGTAGGCTTTCCGATCCGAAAATTCAGATTCAGTGTGAATCTACCTTTATAAAGTGATAAGTACAGAATTAGTCATAAAATATACCCAAATCATGACACTAACAAAATCAAGGTGCAATAAAAAAAAATGTTGCAATGTTTAAGGCCTGTTTACACTATGACGATAATGATCAATTTAATGATCTAATCAAATTCCAATTTAATGACAGTTGCTTTTAATGTGCAGAAAGATTTTGAATTGAAAATTAAGCTGTGTAGTTGCTGTATCATTTACATTAAAAATCTATCACCAGATTACCACAACATTTGAATAATGTTGTGCAGTTTCAAATGTTCCACTTTTATGCAAGACATTTTGGATTCTAGCCTTAGAAATGTTTTGCCCCTTTAGGAACAAATGACTGGGCCAAGACTTCACTGCAGCTCCATGCCAAAGATAAAAGGGAGTATGTGTACAGCAAAGAGCAGCTAGAGCAATCTCGGACACATGATGATCTGTGGAATGCAGCACAGGTAGGGATAAACAAACAAATAATTTTTTGACTGAACTGTTTATTTCTGTATTGAAATCCTGGGTTAAGAAGAAGAACTTTCTGTATGCAGTTATACCAAGATGTCACCATGACCATAGTTAGGCATTTCACATTTTTTTTGTCAAATAAAATTTGGTAGGCTGGACAGGGCTTTAATACAAGCTAAACTTTCAAGGCATTTTGATTTGGTTTTGGAATAATCCCTAAATCCTCCTTTTTATTTCATCCAATTTTATGAACCCTATCTGGAGATTATTGTCAACTCATCACAAAGAATGAAAGGCATTAAGGCTTTATAAGAGGTGTGTAGCATCTTGATAAATTTTTCAAACCAAAGGAAATCTTTTAGAGAGTGAATGTATTATCGCACAATTATCTGAACAATATATATTAATGCTTACGGAATGATAATCAAGACGTTGAGACACTCAACCAATAACAGTTTTTTTAAGAACTATCTATGTGGTGACCCGCAAGCATTCATATATATTATTACTTCGCCATGCAGACCTTCAAACAATATTTTATAAATTTTGAAAAGAAAGTTCATCGAAGTTGTTTTTTGTAATGTCATCTGATTATGTAAATAAATGCATTGTTTTGGTTATATTTAATTAGTTAATTTAACTAACTAAAATTCACAAGAAAGCTAGACCGTTCCTGAAAGGAATCAGTTTAGGGGATGCTTCAAGTCTTACCCACCTTTTGACTGGTGATTCATTGTGTTTGAACTGCTTTCCATTGATTAGAACAATAGAAACCAGTTCCAACTGGAATATGACAAAACCATTCTATTAGGATGAACTCTGCCAAAAATGATCACTGATTGAATTGTTTTTGCGACAATCTGTATCCGTTCGCAAGCTAGATATGTGTACAGACATTAATATCATGAATTAAGTGGGTCCCCAGGGTGTTTTGTCTGATTTGATGCCTTTGGATGATGATGTGAGAACAAATTTATTTAAGGAAGAAATTATGGGTTTAAAGTTAGAGATATTTTTTAGATTAGCATGTGTAAGCTTTGAAAAGAACAAATTTGCCTTCCTATGTGAGCTAATATTTATTGCTTAAGATGATCAAAAGATCATATAAAATTTTAAAATAAGTTAGGCTCATCATCATTCATCATTATCAATTTAAAGTCCGTAATTAATCCATGCTAGCAAAATCATTGAAAGACCAATGCTGGTCGGCAGTCTATCAGTGCCGGTAGGATGGTGAGAACTCTCTATAGTAGATTTAATCCCATTATTATTGATATTAGGTCATCCCATTATTATTGATATTAGGTCATCCCTTTATTATTATAAAGGTTTATGTAGGCCTACAGCATTATACATGTTTAAACACAGAGATAAAATTAACAACTAAAGCCTAATAATAATTGACCTAATATCAATAATAATGGGCCCAATAGTAATGAATAATAATTAATAATAATACAGTAAATACAGTAGTATGATGATGTGTAAAGAACTAATAGAGCATACGATTATTAATAAATAATACAGTAAATCATTAGTTCATACATTTATAAACACCTAAATATATATGAAATTATATAATTTAACGTCTCCGCAATGTACACCTATCGAGACAGTTATCATTCGCTAATCAACAACCCTGGTCAGACGTGTACTCCACCCCGCGGCGCACAAACAAACCAAGTTATCTGGCGCGTCAGTACCACAAAAGGCACTAACAGGTTTTATGTGATAAGATAAGACCATTGTTGTACGCGCACATTTGTGTGCCGAGGAGAGTATCCTACTTCAGTTCAGCCCTACCTTACTTTAGCGGTACTTTCCCATGCTCGTGGGAACTCCTTTGCCCAACAATTTTTTACACGTCTCAGAAAAACAGAATTTCCCACGAGCGTGAGAAAAAGAGACAGATCAGTCGCCGCCGAATTAGAGCTAGATACAACTTAATATATGTGTCCTTGATATTTGGAAAAATTTGACCTGGAATGTCCTGGAATTATCCTGGAATATTTCTTCTTTAAAAACGTACGAACCCTGTATTATTGTTATCATTATCATCATTCATTCTTTCAACATTCTTTCACAACCATCTCACATGGATTATAACATATGACTAATCATTCATGTGTTTACAGATTCAGATGGTATCAGAGGGAAAGATGCATGGTTTTCTGCGTATGTATTGGGCCAAGAAGATCTTAGAATGGACAGAGTCACCAGAGAAAGCTTTGGAAATTGCTATCTTCTTCAATGATAAGTACAGTATTGATGGCACAGACCCAAATGGATATGTTGGTAAGTATCTGATGTGTTTCACTAGTGGTCAGTGTCTATGTGAACTGAATTAAGTTCAGTTATTTTGTGTACCATTTACTTAAGCTTTGAAGAATCTTTAATGGCAATATTGCTAGATGACTCAGTTTTTGTTAATTTAAATCCAAAATCAAAGTGGAAGATCCATCTGCAGGTTACAGTCAAAGGTACATATTTTAGGTGTAGGTTGACTCTGTGGCGTTGTTGTTGTAGATTTGGACTTTGGTGCCATCGTGTGTAGGCTTCAGTATGAACCCAATTATGACTTGAAAACAGTTGAATTCATACATTTTCTGTGTATTGTTGTTCACAGGTTGCATGTGGTCTGTCTGTGGTATTCATGACCAGGGTTGGAAAGAAAGACCAGTGTTTGGTAAGATTCGGTACATGAACTATGCTGGATGCAAGAGAAAGTTTGATGTGGACCAATTTGTGCGCAAATACAAGGCAAAGAAATACTAAACATTTTTACAGAAAAACCAAATTTTTGGTTATTTTTGCAACTTTTTCTATATACACTCAAGACTAATTTCTTGTAATACAGGTTACACAAATGGGAGAATTATAGTTCTCGTGCTATATTTTAGTCAGACAAGATTTCTAACCACCATAAGTCTGATTTGAAAAATCATACAACAGTAAATGTTTGTAAATAAAACCAACATACAAACTAATTGCAATATTCTCATTACCATGACAGTATTATTAATCCAATATAACAGAGTAGTAAATGATCTTCTGTCCAACCTCAGCACATTTATTTATGTAGATATTGCGTAGTATAACCTGTGTTTCTTTTGTGTGACAAAATTTATTTTTACGTTTGACCGCACACAACTTTACCTTGGTTTATTGATCAATCAATATTGTTGATGGGTCATAACAACTAGGACATCCCCAACTTTTTATTAATATTCCCTCCACGCACTCCGATTAGAGCGGACATCCTTTGTTATGCCTAGTGAACATTAGTTTCATGTAGATATTCTACTAAAGCCATTAAAGACAGTTAAAAAGAAACATTAAGCCATTCGAGCAAAGGTTTGTCATTACACCTTTATTCATAAAAATGTAATGTAAACGTTGGTATTTAAAGTAAAGTGTTTTTTATCAAATGCAGTATCGGTGATTAATAAGTTTAGTTATACTGTTTTTGTTATTCCTAAATCTTTAGTTTCATACTAATGATTTAGTGACAATGTTATATGTATTCTAAGCTATGTAGTCTCTACGATTTCAGACTTTCTGTGCCCACCACAGAAACATACAAAATGTAATGTAACATCTGTCAAGTTTAAATTTAAATCCTATTTTATTTGATATAATCTAGGTAATCTATTAATTAAAGCATTTTAATAACATTGACTCTGGCAAAAGAAATAGAGAAATAGCTACACGCTATCGCCGCGACTCCTTTGGCAACGCTGATTGGTCGTTTGAATCAGGAGCGTTTCCGATTGCGTCAGGAACAGCTATTTAGTGCAAGGATTATACTGTAAGTGCTGTAGTGACTGTGTAGAAATTCTATAGAAACCGGACTTTATATTCTAATTTTGAACTAAATAACGATGCAAACACTGCTGCAACATTTCGATAATGTTTTCTTATATAAATGCAATGTTCAGTGTTTGTAAATTGTTGTAATTACGTTTACCTAAAAGGATTATATCATGTTAACCTAACCTTGTTGTAATTGGTTAAGATAAGTTCTTATAGTGGAAACAGATTTTGAATTAATTTATTTTGGAATTCCTCCCAGAAGGGAAGAGTTGTTTCCTATGCTATTGTTCGAAATGCTCAGTGATGTATCTAGAATTGAATTGGGAGGGGTGAGCTGATTGGTGGGACATGAAAGTGAAGTGGGGGCGGGGCTCGATGATCAGTTGAGGGGTGCTAATTCGCAAAATATTGTGATTTTTAACTACTTGACCATGATTTTTTGGGGACGACTGGGGGCGCGCGAGTAATTTTTTTTTTTGGGGGCAGTGTGGGGTGCGTGTGCTCTTGCTTGCTTGTAAATGTTATCCAACTTCTGGTGGTATTGAACATAATAAAAGTAAAATATTTTGATAGTTAAATCATTTGCTGAATGAAGTGAAGAATACAACATACCATTCAAAAACTCGAAGTGGTGGTTTTGATAGTAATGCCTGATGATGTCAGATGTGTAATGACAATAAACACGATGATGATGATGTGGTGACACACATAGCAGTAACAATTCAATTCAAATAATTCAATTCAAATAAACATTTATTTCTTCACACAATATGATAACAAATGATAAACATTAAACAGCCGGATTATATGTATTTTCTACATATTAGTAGACTATAAAATCGATTAAATAAGCCTTTGAAACCTCTAAATTGTCAAAATTTTCGGGGGCTTCGCCCCCAGGACCACTTTCAAAACCTTTTAATCGAAGCTCGACCACGCCCCACTTTGCTTTCGTCGGGGAAATCTGACTCCTTGTCGGGGCATCGCACCCCCCCCCCCCCCTCGGGCAAATCCTGGCGCCACCCCTGGTCAGGTACCTGGCCAACATGAAATATTAAATTATTCATGTCTCAAATGTTGAACCTATTAATCATGTAGAAATTACCAACGCAATTATTCATTAGTTAGTTATTGCATCTAATTCACAGTAACCATTGAAACGCACTAAACTGCCAGCATATGTGCCAAGCCTGTTGCCACCCCTTCAGATTCAGCCGTGGGAGATTTTCAATGGACCTTTCCGCTAAGAAGCAGGCGCGTAACAGGGGTCTTGGGTCGGGAGGGGGGGGGGACAAAGTTAATAATTTTCCCGGTTAGTATTTTATGACTTGGAGTGATACCCCCCCCCCATATAGAAAACAATACGACATAGGGCTTATTTTATTATTAATATAGGCCACACACGTGTGTTTGAAACTAAATATAAGCATTTTCACCGTGGTTTTATTTATTACAATCATAGGCCTATTCTTTCACCATCATTACTCATTGAGGCCCTTCTTTTAGGTAAAACGATCTATCTTAAATTTTCTTTCTTGAGTTTGGGACTATGTGTTATAACTTCGAAGTCAAAGGAGAGTAAGCACAAGCTTTAACATTAAAAAATGCGCGAAGCGCGCGAAATTTTTTTATTTTTTTATTCTAATTTCGTCGGAATTGATCAAAACTCCACAAAAATGTGCAATTTTTAGAGGAAATTGGCCTACCTCAACAAGAAATGCTCTTATGTTATATATGGCCACACTCGTTTTTTAAAACTGAATATACTAAGCATTTTCCTTATGGCTTTATTTATTACAAACATATTCTTTCAACATCATTACACATTGAGGCCCCTCTTTTAGGTAAAACGATCTATTTTAAATTTTCTTTCTTGAGTTTTTTGAAGTGGAGAAGGGGTTGCAGGCCGGGGTATTGTGATATCTGTTCATTATATCTTTCTTTTTATTCTTGTCTTTATTTTTCTTTTCTCTTTTTCCTTTCTTTTTCTTTCCCCTTCATTCTCTTTCCCTCCCTCTCCCCTCTTTCTTTTCTCTTCTTTCCCAGCCCGGTATGACGACTTGGTCAGCCCGGTAAAAACCGTCAGGGGGGACAGTCTGCCCACCTGCCCCCGCCTGATGAATGGGAATATGAATCATGCAGATCTGGAATCAAATCTAGGTGGTGGGGTCAACATTCCCAGAGATCCCAAGTTTGAAAACCAAAAAATAGGGAGATTTTTTTCATGAAGCGATCGCCTCCTGTAGCGACGCGCTGTGACGCCTTACAACGCGCTGTGCAACATGAAAGTATTACACAAAATGAAGAAAACAAACAATTTTCATAAATTTGTTTACTTTTAATTAACAATTTTACATTTGTTTACACATTGCAGTTGGCCTAAAATATAAATTTATAAATATTATTATTTATTTAGCATTTAGCTAGTAAAGCGTTCTTGGCAGCAGTCAACAAGGCTTTGCTTGGTTCATTGGTATGTTAGAGGCTATGGCTGATTTATTACATCTCATCAAAGAACATAGAATTCTAGCAAGGTAACTGCAACTTGCAAGATTCACACGTTTGCTGAAAAATTAAAAAAAAATATATATTTTAATTTAGTTGGTAAATCATACTACATGTTTTAAGTCAGCATTTATATATGTCTAGCCTATAAGAACTGGTACATAATGCCATGAAAAAACATTAAATCCTGCCTCGCAAGGCTCCATCTATACGTGCGTAACTAGGCCTAATACCGCAGAGTCACAACCACCACTACACACACGCCCACCCAACACAGCACACATACAGTACATACCCTGCAGTGTTGCAGATATAGCCTAGGCCTAAGCCCTACATGTATTTCGGGATCGATATTAAAATAAACTTCATTTTTCGGAAGACTGCTTAGTACCAAAACCTATTAACTATAATTTTTTTAGTATTGTTATTAAAAAACTGAAGCTTACTTGAAAGAAAAAGTAATTTTTATGCACCGATTCTGTTCCAAATCTTCGCAGCGAAAACTTCGGGCCCCATCCATTCCCATGTGATTTCTGATTTCGTTACTATTTGTTGAAATTTATTTACTCAACTGACATCCATCTCCTTGAATGAGGTCGGCCGGCACTGGATGCAAAAGATCGTAACATGGAGGATAAACAAGTCGGTTCTATACCACGGATCTAGGCCTGCCTTGCCCTGGCCTGAGTTGTTATTTTGATAAACAACTTAATAACAACTCCCTGGCCTTGTTTATGACATTTTATGGCTGAGCGAGCGCCATAGTATATTGGCTTAAGATAAGAAATTTTGTTTCATTGCTCTATGACATCGTGGAAATCACATTTTTCGTGAAATTTTCGGGATATTAAAGAAAATCGGGAGATATTAATAAAAATCGGGAGGGCGGGAGACGGCCTCAAAAATCGGGAGAAACCCGCAATTCTCGGGAGAATTGGGATCTCTGCATTCCTCCCCCGGGAAAATTTCGATTTCTAGATGGCGGAAAATGAGCTTTCCCGACTTCTGACGTGTCTTTAATTACTTTTAAGTTCTTCAAAATTCAAGGTTTTTCCATCTTGAAAACGGTCAGGTAATTTTTTCCCATTGTTATTACAGTAAATAGGGCTTATGTGTGTATACATATAAAACATTTAAAAAAAAAAATGAGTACAGGTGCATACGAATTTTCTATGAAGCGATGAATCCCAAAAAGAAAGGTTGGTCCGGGGGTTCTTCCCCAGGAAAATTTTGATTCCTAGAAGGCGGGAAATGAGCTTTCCCGACTTCTGAGGTGTCTTTTAAATTAAAGTCATTAAAAAATACTTTAGAAGTTGGGAAATCTCATTGTCCACCATTTAGAAATCAAAATTTTCCCGGGAAGAACTCGAACCTCCCTTTCTCTGGGTTAATTCATTCATTATAATAATTTTCAAGAGGGGAACACCTTGAATTTTGAAGAACTTAAAAGTAATTAAGTTCTTCAAAATTCAAGGTTTTCCACTCTTGAAAACGGTCAGATAATTTTTTCCCATTCTTAATACAGTAAATAGGCCTTATGTGTGTATACATACATAAAAAAAGATTGAGTAAGTTGCATACCTAGTTTTTCCATGAATCGATAAATCCCAAAAAGAAAGGAGGGGGAGGTCCTGTGGTTCTTCCCCGGGAAAATTTTGATTCCTAGGTGGCGGGAAATGAGCTTTCCCGACTTCTGTGGTATCTTTTAATGACGTTAAAATTCTTCAAAATTCAAGCCACCTCCCCCTTGAAAATGATTAAATTAATCAATGAACTCCAAAGATAAAGGGGGTCCGGGTTCCCCCGGAAAAAAAAAATTGATTTCTAGATGGCGGGAGATGAGCTTTCCTGACTTCTGAAATGTCTTTTAATAACTTTTAAAGTTCTTCAAAATTCAAGGTTTTCCCCTCTTGAAAAAGTTTAGGTAAATTTTTCTCATTTTCTATTTTATGTGTGTATACATACATAAACAAATGAGTAGTTACATGCGTATTCTTTATTCCATGAATCGATAAATCCCAAAAAGAAAGGGTGGTCCGGGGGTTCTCCCCCATGAAAATTTTGATTCCTAGATGGCGGGAATTGAGCTTTCCCAACATTTGAAGTGTGTTTTAATGAATTTTATGTTCTTCAAAATTCTAATTTTTTAATAGAAAAAAAAAATAAATAAATAAATAAAAATATAAAAATCAGCTCACGAGTCCTGAAAAATTAGGTCTAGAATTCTTTTCTTTTTCCCCTTTTTTTGTTGCCAAAGGGAGGGGTCAGGACCCATGACCCCCTCCCCCAGATCCGCCAATGTGAATTGCGAGAAAATGTAACTCGGTCGGGTACTGGATAAACATTCTCTTTCCCATCCTTCTCCTCCTTCTTCCCTCCTTTTTTTGCATTTCCGATCATACAAAAATCTCCAGACATCATATATTTTTCGCCAAAAGTGGGGGGCCCGGGCTTCCGCCGGCCATGTAAAATAATATGTAATGTGTTGATGGACATGATCAAAGATAAAGGCAATTAAAATAAAAAAACATTAAACACGTATTTAAACTAAATAAGTAGCCAAATGCTTTATTTAAATATAAAAATGTAAGTCGTATATTTAATTTCATATAAAAATCTGTTTATAGATGTAGTGTATTAAAATATATCTGTCTTTAAAATTCTGTATAAAAATATTGCAAATCTGTTTTTTCTCGAAACATTACCTATGCTATAAAGCGATAAATTAATAATCCGAGAAAAAGAGCATTTACCAGTACGAAT